TGTACAGAAAGGTCATGCTAGAGTGTACTATTTGCGCTATTTGATATTACTTTTTGTTCGCGGGGCAATTTCGTGCATGGAAAGTAGTACCTACCAAATAGCACAAACAGCGTGCTCCACGAACCCACCATTAGTTTCAACTACCGTTAGTTTTTTTTATAATACCATTATACCAATATAATTTTGTGTATAATAACAATTACCAATATACGGTTTGTTGCCTCTACTTTATTTTATTTCATTCTCAACTCTAAATTATATTTCATTCTCAACTCTCTTATTTTATTTCATTCTCAACTCTAAAACGCTGGCTATGATAGAAAAATAATGAACACTGGTCAATATTAATGCCAGGTTTATACAACATTTGCATAAGTCGTTATCATAATCACAGTCTTAATCATCGTCATAATCACAACGCAATTTTAATGTGCGTTTATAGAACATTTTCATAATCATAATTTTCATATCAATAAAGTTGGGTACGGTAATTAAAGGCTAACTTCAACAGATTTATAAGAAATGGATAGTTTAACTTTTATGATTATGACTATGATTGTGATTACGACTATGTAAATGTTGGATAAACCCGGCATATCTTGCGCAAAGACCTAATGATTACTTAAAAAATGAATAATTTCTAACTTTCAAGAAATCTTGAATTCAAGAAATCTTGCAAGACTCTTGAAATTTCTTGCATATTAAAGTCTTCTCTTGTCTTGAAATTCAAGACAAGAAATTTTGAAAGTCTTGTCTTGAATTTCTTGCAAGAGTCTTGGTCGTGCAAGACTTTTTCAAGACACTTGTGCAACACTAACCTAAACAGTATAGGCGCTGCGGTTTTGTCGCACAATTATTAATAGTTGTTATTTTGGAACCAAAAAATAATGCATAAAGGCAAATTGAAACAACTTCGGTTGCACGTCATCAATGACACCATGCGTCGTCTTATGGAGTTTGCTGGTGGTCGTATTATGATGTTGCAACCAAAGTTATTTTAATTTCCCCATAGGTACAGTGGATACATTAATATAATAATAATAATAGCTCCCGTATATAGCGTTTAACGCCTTGGGAGTAGCAAGATACAGCTTGCCATGCTAGAGCCGTTCGGTATACAAGGAAGGAAATGTGGCTAGCACTACGCTTCAACCACCTATTATTACCCCAGGATTGTGAATCCCAAGTACTCATTTAAGGCTGAGTCGACCTAGGTACCCAAATTATTTTTATTTTAATAAAAATAGTCGGCTGATGAAATGCCGGGTGTAGGATTCGAACCCACAACCTTGAGATTGATAGACTTTCGAATACATAATATCATATCACTAATAAATGTCATTAAAGGCTACACATGGCTGTATTAATGCAAAATCAATATTAATATTTAATATGTCAAAATATAACTAGAAGTAAATAATATTTACAGGGTGGCGCACCTCATTCGACTCGCTTGATTACTTCTTAATTATACGAAAATGAACAGATGTAGAAACAAAAATATTTTATGGGCATATGTGAGGAGGGCAATGTGCAAAATTTAAAATTATTTTGAAATATACATGGTGTTTCAGAACTAAGATCTATACCAATGTCATATTTTTTCTTATGGAACACCCCTTGTTTTATTTCATTTTTGGATTCTTGGGCCCAAAAAAAGGCATTTATAAAGGTTAAATATGTTTAAAATCTTTGGTTTTTGAGATGTTTAAAGATATTTAAATATATTTGCGTAAGTTTTCTTGAACCATTTCTTAACTCTAAAAATGTCATATTTTCTTGGGTTGAAGTTAGTTAATAAATAATAAATTTAGTTTTTTTAAACATCTTGACGTTTCGTCCCTAATTTCGGGGCATCTTCAAAAGTTTTCATTATCTTGAGATTTTTATTGTTTCAAAAAAAATAAATTTATTATTTATTAACGAACCTCAACCCAAGAAAATATGACATTTTTATAGATATTTAAATATGCATACTACAATAGATTATTATAACACCCTGTACGTTACTTTTCATAATAATTATTCTTGTGCTGAGTTTAAAGGAAGAGAAATAAATTTTACTGAAAAATGTTATTGCTTCCTTAAATTTATACAGAGGTACCAAAAATTGCTGATCTATTTTATGGATTTATTTTATATAAAATATTATTTTTTATTTTATATAAAAACTTTGTTATTTCAAAAGCAACACCCTGTATTTTTTAAAATAAATAGAAGCAGATTCAAATGCTCTTTCAAATTATATTAGGGTTTCCTATACCTATCTAGCTCAGATTTTGAATAAAAAGCGATTTTTAAATAAAATGGCAATCAAGATGGCTGGTGTCGCCGCGGGCCGTGGCAATTTTCTAGTGACAGTTAGTAACTATTTTCAAAATCGACATTAGCTTATGGACATTATTATTTGTAATTTATAACAGTTTACTTAAATTTACCTATGTAGATTGTTTATTAAGTAAGTATTCATTATTAAAGCAGTATATGCTGGCGGAACGAATGGATATGTTACTATTGATTTTGATGAAAAAAAAATATTTGAGAATAGACTTGACATAGACTTTTGAACACTCTGTATAGTTAAAAATTACGATATTTATAGCAAAATAAGCACAGTTCAACTATAGTAAATACCTAGTATAGTTTTGATTTGAGGACATTTCTTGTATTTCTTTAATATTTAAAAAAAAGGCTGAAAAATGTTTTTTTTCATTTATTGATAAATATTTGTGAAACTATCAAAATATATTGAATAATATTTTAGAACTATGTAAAGTGATCAGAAAGGAAGCCAAAAATGCAATAATATACAGGGTGCTTGTCCCCGAAAAATCATCCTGATCCACTTACACTTTTTTGAGCCACTCTGTAGAAGTTAAAATATTTTCCTGAAATACACTCTAATACATATCTTAGGTATGCACTTATATATATATAAAATTATTATAAATATATACAAAATTATTATTTTTTTATTATAGGAGCTACACATGCCCGACGCATTGTTGCCGGACCCGTGTAAAGTAGTAGGAAACTCTTTGAACCGTGGTAACACCTCTTTGCGGTAACTTTTGGATTGGCACCCTGTTAAAAGTGTATTAATAAATATACATAAAAATTAGATTTTGATTAAGAACATGATGGACGTAATAATCCTGCAGCTGGATCTTAGACTATTACTTCAATAATCGAGTACTCGAGCAAATATTTACTCGAATTATACCCTCACTTAAATTTAGTTATAAAAAAATATAATTTCCGCTCAATATAAGCGTTATATTTTATAAATCTAAAGATATATTTTTAGTATCTTCTGAAATTATTTTTACGAAAAATATGTTTGTCTAAATAATTATTCTAATAAGTTTTTGGTGGAAAAATACAGGTATGAATTTGTAACAAGAATAAATTTTTGATTTTTTTTTTTCGGTGGCAATACTGAATAACGAATTACTGTTAATATTATAATGAAGAATAATATACTTGATACACTCAGATGCAAAAAAACCCAACAGAGAAAATTTTGGTCAAATTTAAAGTGTTATATTTTTGTTATTTGTAGCCCTATTTTTATGATTTTTTTAGCTCACTGTATATAATTATATCAACTTTAATTCGTAAACAAATTTTTTTATAAACTTTAGTATTTGGCATATTATACAGATAGGGTTGTTTTTTTACCCTAACTTTAAAACACCCTGTGCAGTAATTTCATGTATAAAATTTTTCCTAAAATATAATTTTACGGTGAGAACCATGACCCCTGAGCATTTTGTTTTTCTATTCATGTCAATATATGTTTTGGTTAATTTTTAAGAGTAAAATGAACTGATCACGATCAATTTGCAATTATCATCACTTTTTGATGTAATTTTATAATACAAAGAGATGGTTTTGGTGACCATTGTCGTAACATGACATTACGCAGCATTGGATACCCTATATTAAATTTACAAAAAAACGTTAAAGACTGACGATACAGTCCTGGTATTAATAAACATTCATAACGATAACAGAACTAACGATATTAAAGAAAACATCTGTAATACTCAAGTATACAAACAGAAAAAAAAATTGTAAAAAATATCCTAATACTGCGTTATGCTTTCGCATTCTTCTTTAAGAACCAAGCGAAGTTGATTTATTGCAGCTGGTACTGCTTCGCAACCTCTAAACCTCTTGCCAAGCATGTTCCAAACATCGAACATGATGAGCAGTTCATAGTAGTATATGGTTCACAATAATCACCAAAGCCGCCTTATCATATTAAAAAATAACTTAAAAAAATGATAATTGAAAAAATTGCAAATTGTTGGTGGCAAGTTCATTTCACTCTTAAAAATTAACCAAGGCATGTATTGACATGATCCAAAAAACAAAATGCTCAGAAGACATGGTTCTGACCGTAAAATTATATTTTAGGAAAATTTACACACGAAATTATTGCACAGGGTGTAAAGTTAGGGTAAAAAAAAACAACCCCTTGTTTAACCCTGTATAATATGCAAAATACTAAATTTTATAAAAAAAACTGAGTTAACGAATTAAAGTTGATATAATTATATACAGCTTGCTAAAAAAATCATGAAAATAGAGCTAAAAATAACAAAAACTTTAAATTTGACCAAAAATTTCTCAGTTGCGTTTTTTTTGCATCTGAGTGTATAATATAAGTTATTCAGCAATAATTATTACAAAGAAATTTTGCAATTTAGGCTACATCACATCGTTGTAAAATGATAACGTTTATAAAACAACTTTTTTATTATTTAAATAGAAATACTATAAGAGTAATATACGTCTACTAAAATAGACAAATATATTTAAGTATGAAGATATGTTTTCAACATCTTAATTATGCCAGTAACTAATCCAGAAGTATTTCAACTTGATTTTTATATCTTTTAAACGAGATATTATTTCTTAATAAAATTTTATTTGTTAATGTTAATTCTATAATTTAGGTTTACGCAGGGAAAAAATGAAAAAAGGTTTTCGTATAAAAATAAATGTATTAATTTTATTTGTCACCGTTTCTTAAATCTACATGAGCACTTTAAAGTGAATGCCTTACAAATCTAATGACTATATACAATAAGAGAAATTATTCCAATTATGAATTAAGTGACATTATCACATAAAATCTCACCACAGGTCACATGCATCTCAACAACATCGTCAACTTAATATTAGAATAAATTAAATTTTAAGAAAATGTACGTGCGTACCCGTAAATGACACGTTACAGCAGTTAATCTCGTTTTCGTCAAATTTATTTCTGGTAACCGGGTGGGCCGTATTTGGAGGAGGTTCCAGCTGAGGAACTGGCACCTGCCGAAGCGAAACCACCAGATAAAGAGCTGGCTCCACCGTGTCCACCGAGGTCTCCACCAGAAATTCCAGCGCCAGAAGAACCAAAATCGGCACCAGCTCCGCTTATTCCACCACCAGCACCTGCACCGGCGAAGGAACCAGCACCACCACCGAAAGAACCAGCACCAGCAGCAGCAGCTGCGGCGGCAGCTTCCTTCTGGGTCTTGTAACGGATGAAATATACTTCGGGTTTGCTGGGTTGAGTTGGGGCAGGGGTTGGGATAACAATTTCGGGTTGTTCTTCGGGTTTCTTGACCAACACATAGACCAAGGTCTTTTCTTCGTTTTGAGGTTGAGCGGGAATAACGGGAGCGGTAGGAGCAGGAGCAGATGGAGCTTTAATGAAGATGATTTTGTAGTGTTTCTGAGGAGCGGCTACGGGGTAGACCTTGGCAGGTCTAGATTCTTCAGGTTCTTCGGGAGCTACATGGACGTAGACGTGTTTGTGGACGGTGGTACCACCAGCACCGCCGAATCCACCAGCACCACCTCCAAATCCACCTCCTTGACCACCGCCGAATCCTCCAGCACCACCTCCATGACCGCCTCCAAATCCAGAGCCGCCTGCGAAGCTACCGGCACCGCTGGAGGAGAAGCCTGAAGAACCGTCGAATCCACCGGCGCCGTGTCCGGCACCGATGCCGTTACCGGCGAAAGCGCCGCTGTCTAATCCGGATGGAAAACCTCCTCCGATTGGTCCAGAGGGGAAGGATTGATGCCCTCCTCCTCCGATTATTCCAGCACCTCCGGATGGGGAGGGGTAGCTGTAGCCTACTGGTGGTTCAGGGCGGGCTGAGACCACAGCAACAAAGAAAGCAAACTGAAAAAGAAAATTGTGTGTTAAACAAATATTTATTATTAAATTGATAAATTAACTATTTAATATAAAGTCATTATTTTAATAAACATGTAACGGTTAAAGGTCTTTGCTTAGTTTATATTCTAGTATAGTATAAAAACTATCTAGGTATAAGCGATACCAATTAAACTTCTAGTTACGTAATTGGGTGCGCGATTTTAAAATTCATTGTTGCCAACCATAGACATATTCGGCGCCGAGCTGACTAACTGGAATTTAAATTTCCCGCTGGGAATTCAGGTGGTAGCTCTGCTTTAAAAAATGTCGAGTTGCCACATTTATTTATTTATTTCCTGACATTGTCATTCGTTTTGTCACTTTAGTCTTGTATACGAGTTTTTGGTTTAAATCAAATGTGTTGTGATACTTTAAGCTTATTTTTTTTACTAGCAGACCTTGCAGTTGAACACTGTTCTTTTTAGAACCTCTTTTAGACGTGATTTTTGGTGATGTAAATAATAATTCTTTATATTATTTTTTTTTCTTTTTTTATTAGTGTATATTTATAACAGTGATATATTATCTAGAAGCGGTCTAAATCAAACTCAATTTATTCTGTAGCTCTATATTTCGACATGGTTTATGTCTTCCTCAGGAATGTACAGAATTAGAGTTATACAGGTATATACACAAAATACATTAAAAGAATTGCAAAACAAACACAAAAGATCAATAATTTTACATGTACTGTTTAATTGATTTTTCATGTTTGTTTTGCAATTATTTTAATGTATTTAGTGTATATATACCTGTATAACTCTAATTTTTTATTATTTATTATAATTTATTTACGCTCTTGAGGAAGACATGCACCATTTATAAATATAGAGCTATACAATAAACTGAGTTGATTTAGAACAAACCTCTTCCCGATAATATATCACTGATATTCATTCGTAAGGTTGAGAATACTTGCAAATATATATTTATCATTAATTTATTTTTGTTTACTAAAATATTTTGATTAAAAGAAAATCTGTAAAAGTGGGCAACGCTGTGCCTTCCTTGTATTAGCAGAAGGCGCCAAGTTTTGGTCACCCTGTACAGGGTGAGTCGACGATAAAGATCATTATCTTGTTTGATTTGAGAATTACAAAAAATGTTAAATAGAAACGTTTTAGAGAATGTTAAGATACACAAATGAAAAGTATTTCTGGTATACAACATGCTTCAAAAAACTGTGGCTTCAAAAATTTTGTATTTGTCGATTTATTAATAATCCTACACGGTTTTTTAAACGTAACACCCTATTTTTTTATTTTAATTTAAGATTCTCCATAAAATTCTATAATTTTTTATTTATAATCTTAAAATCCCCCAAATTAGTAGTTTTTATTATTATTTCAGATTTAAAAATATATTTCAGTTTAATAAAAAATGTGTAATGTTTCTGAAGTTGGTATACTCAAATTTGGTAGGAGAATTTTATAAAGATGAAGAAAAAGATACATAAAAAAATATATTTGGGTTAGTTGCTATAGGGTGTTTTTTTCTGAATTTTGACTAAGCATTTATAATTAAAAAAAATAAAATGTTTTCTCTGATAAATTTTTTAACACCCTTCAACTTTTATTAAGTATATCATATACTTTGCGATATATTCTGACCTGCTTATTTTTTACCCTTCTTTTTAATTAATTTATGGTAAAAATCATAGTTGCATTACAAGACAAAAATATGTATTATTTATCATTAATATATATTTACGTTTCTATTAATTATTAAAATAACTGAAATAAATTGAAATATCAGAGTTGAAGAATTAGTTATTAAAGAATATCCAGAATTTTTGAAAAATGGCCCACTAGATTAGCTAATTGACGGCTACTAATAATTAAAAATTTTGTTTCTTCGACCAACTTTCCAAGTTTCTGAATTGTATACTTGAAAATAATTTTAAAATGTGTATCTTAACCATCCCTAAAACTTTTCTATTTAACATTGTTTTCATAATTTTCAGAAGAAACAAAATAATAAAGTTTACTCTATCGTTGACTCACCCTGTACACTGAAGAAATAAGTCCACTTTTCAAGCTCGAGCGAAGAAAAGAGATCACTTCACTTTCCGTGTATTCGAGTTCGCGGTGTGGTTCCACAATAAGCGCACCCTTTTTCAAAAAAATCACTTTCACTCGCTACTGTCGGTACTAGGTACTTACCAAAAACGGCTTCATCCTAACTGAATACGTGTGTTAGATCGGTCAAGTTTCGACTCCGATTAAAACTGTATCTTCAGGTTTTATAGTTTAAGATGTACTACTACCTACCTACCTCATCCCCCACCGCATGGGTAGTACTTTTAGAATGGCGAGATGATGATGATGGGTGCATACATACGAAAATGTAGTACGCAATATTACTTTTTTTTCGGCGATATGTATTAAGTGAATGGATTTTTTTCGTTAATAGTATGAGATAATAGAGTTGGCTAAAGGATGAATCGGTACGACCTTTTTCCAAGTTAAGTGTTAAAATTTCCTATTAGCACCTAATAAAATATTTCGATCAAATTAAACAAAATTTATTGAATTTTTACGAAAAGGAAGAGTATTAGCTTTATGAAACCTATTAATGCAATTAAGAGTCCTTTTAACTATGACAAGTACTGTTTGTATAGAAAGTCATATTCCTTTACATTGAGATATAAATAAACATAGAATATACAATATATTTTGAAACGACTATTAAAATATTGTGAAACTAAATGCTTCTGTAAACCTTCAATGTCAGTTATTCATGGTAACATTTTTTCAGAGGTTAATATTTCATGATTAATAATAAATAATAAGTAAGACTTTGTATTAAGCTGTACCTGATAAGTCTACAGAAACATAATACTACAAAATCAAAGTATTTGTTACATAGGTATAAAAAGTTATAGAGTTTAGAATACCCAAAGAAAATTTTTTATCTAGCTATAAAGTGTAGGTAACGTAAATAGTTAAAGATAATAATAAATTTTATTTAGCACTTGGCTACTTAAAACTAAAAATATTACAATATCAAAAAACAAAATGCATTAGATTCGTAAAAATTTTGATAATTTTTTATTAAAAATACAGACACTAGGCGCACCTTTAATATCGCTCGGTAAATCATTAAATTGGCGCAATCCGTCATAAAAAAAGACTTTTTTGTATCAGTGTTGCCCATCACAAATTTTTGCGGGACCTCGTAGACTGTGCACAATAATCGACCGTTTCCATACATATCAGCGACCCTGTACAGGGTGGGTCAAATTGGACGATTTTAAAGGGAAACACCCTCGGGAACACCCTTTTCTATAGGAGATTGAAAGAAACTAATATCGGTATCTGGAGCTCTATCGGTGTCTAGTGTTTTTCAAAAATGTGCATTTTTAACAGATCGCTGTAACTTTTCTGCTATGGAAAATGTTGTATTTCTATGAAAATATTTCCAAAGCACCTTTTTACGTAGAATTTATTAAGAGTTATCAACAGAAAAATTGTTTTTTTTTATTTGGGACACGCTGTATATTTTTAATTAAATGAAAATAACTTAAAATTACCTTTCCAAATATATATTTAGCACACTTGATATTTTGTTATAATCCCCTTCGAAATACAGAATTTTTTAAAGTTCGCCACTTTTAACTAGTAGGCTTTAGATCCCTTATTGATGATGATCTGCCCTTAATGGAATTCGAAAACATACTTTTCCAGCAAGAAGAGGCAGTGCCTCAGAACGCTGAAGTTATCAGCAAATTTAGAATAATTAAATAGCTAACCAATATCCCAGCCGTTGGCCGTCGAGGCCGCCGGACTTAGTACCTATGGATCTATGGATATCTTTGCGGAAGAATAAAGGTTTTTATTTTTTCTTTTAATTACCCGTATAATCTAGACAAGAATTAGAAGTACTTCGCGATTATGCGAGGGTATCTTTCACCCCCACTGAGTTAATGAATTCCGCGAGAAATGTTCAAGAACGGCCCCTTCTGTCCATAACAGAAGACGGTTGATATGTTGAACACCTGTAGCAAAATCTCATTTCTCGGTTTGCTATTTATTTTTATTGTTATTATAGATATAGTTTAAACGTGTTGATGTTGGTTAAATATAGTTTAAATTGTTACAAAATTCTGCATCTCTCATTGCAAATATTATTTTTGTTTTAATTGCTGCTCACCGCTAGAATTTGTTTGCATCTCGGTTTGCATTACAGCCGGCGCAGTTCAAAGCCTACTTATACAAAGTGGGCGAATTATAATAAACTCTGTATCTCGAAGAGGAAGCGAGCAAAATATCAAGTGTGCTATATTTTTGGAAAGGTAGTTTTAAATTATTTTCAATGAGTTAAAAATATACAGGGTGTCCCATTTAAAAAATTAAATTTATTGTTGATAATTCTTAAATTATTAATTTTAAATAAATTATACTTAAACCATTAAATTCTACGTAAAAAGATGCTTTGGAAATGTTTTCATAGAAATACAAAACTTTCCATAGCAAAAAAGTTACAGCGATTTGTTAAAAATGCACATTTTGGAAAACACCCCGTAACTCCGAAACGATAACAGATACCGATATGCGGTTTTCACCATCACGATTTTGGCAATAATTGAGCTTCAGACACCGATATTAGTTTCCTTGTATCTCTTATAGAGAAGGGTGTTTCCCTTTAAAAGCGTCCAATTTGTCCCACCCTGTATATTCTATCTGTATTCTTTAAAGTTTCTTAAAAATGTAATTAAATTTACTTTAAATTGCCTTAATTCATTAACTAAAAATATTCTATGTAGAAGACCTCCAGTAAAATCTCAAAAAAGTCCAAGACTTGTAAGAGTCTTGCAGTAAGACCAAGACCGACACTAAGACTGAGCCCTACAAGATAAAAAGGGTCTTAGTCATGCTCTTGCATGTGCCCATCACTAAAAGTGTGTTGTGTTGTCTTGTGTATATATTCTTTTTTATATTTTTATGTTTTGTGTACATATTTTTTTGTGTATATCTATTCATATGAATTACTACGATAATTTAGATTTAGATTTTTTTTAGATTTATAATAGAACATACTCGTATTATGGTCATACATATTTAAAATTGATAACTAAGTCGTTATCCGCTTCCGGTTAAATCGAATGTGTTAACAAGTGGAAAATACAGGGCGTTCCTTAAAGACATGCTAATATTTAAGGGAGTGTTTTTTTGGACCTATTCTAAGAAGTATGTCCTAAACATCTTAACTTTTCAGATACAGGGTGGTAAAAATGTTATATTTGGTACTCGTCTTGCTTCCATCAAACTGCATATTTTGACACACAACAGAATTATTTAGTTCTTAAATTGTTTCCAGCCAATGCAGAAATGATTTCCACATAACAGTCACTGCATTAGATTTTCAGCGATTTGATCCTGAAGTAAACTGACTTTAATTATTTAAGCAAAAACTATATGTTGAACGAAAAAAATCAAGGTATAAAAATTGTTTAGAAATGAAGAGAGATTTTGAAAATAGTTTTTATTTTAAGAGAAGTCAGAGGTGTACCAATTTTTTCTTCAAAAATATTCAACGTAAAACCCGAATGAGCGGCACTGGTTGAAATAAATAATAAAATTATTTATATATAAAAAAGATATTTTGATGCATAGAAGATTAAGTTTCCTAAAGATAATTATAATAAAATCAGAGTTATTATGAAAAAAGTTATTTTTTGGAATTTTTACCACCCCGTATCTGAGCAATTAATGCCCACTTGCACCGTTTGTATAAACTTTGTTTAAAGGCTAAACAGTGATTAACTATATAATATTTTATTATAGTTAATCAGTGTTTAGTCTTTAAACATAGTTTACACAAACGGTGCAAATGAACATAAGATGTTTAGGACATACATTCATAAGAAGTTTTCTCTTAGAATAGGTCCAAGAATCACCCCCTTAAATATTAGCATGTCATTAAGGAACACTCCGTATATGAAAAAAAGTATACTTCAAAATATGTTAATTATTCAGATTTATATCTAAATTATATTTTAAAAACTTTTCATGACAGGTTAGAATGGAAAATTCTGATATGGAGATAAAAACATACATAACATGACCAAAATTACTGCATATACAGGGTGTTTCAAAACAAATGCGAAAAACTTCAGGGGGTGATTTCTTGTTCAAAATAAAGGGTAGTTTGATTCATAAATGTTGGGTCAAAAGTCAACCATTAGGGAGATATCGCGGTACAAAGATGGCGGAAAAATAATGTTTTTATTTTTTATCTTGAAAACGAAAAGAGATAGACTAATAAAATTTTATGGAAGCATTACTGTTATGAAAACACACTTTCTGGTAATTTTTTCACTTTTTTTAAAATGAGTGGAAGGGGTTGAAATAAACTACCCCTATCATTCTTGTTAACGAAATTTAAAGAAAAATCTTATCAAACACATGCAAAAAAATTAATTTAATAGTATAATTTGGATAATTAATAATTTGGATAGTTTAGTTTGTTTAGAAACTTTTTTATCTCTTGTATTTTTTTGATAAAACTCACCGATTAGAAATTAAAAAATAAAATGTAAAGCATTACATGCCAGGACAAAAAACATTTTCTTTTCAAGAATCTAGTGGGCAGCTGTAATTTATTTAGGAAAAAATCTAGTCGGCCGCTGTTACTTTTTAGGATGTTCCTAATATTATTTTATTTGACATTACTCTACTGCAATACATTATTATCTAGATAATTATTATTATCGTTATTATCACTAGATTCTTAATCTAAAATTTTTTTTTGTCCTGACATGTAATGCTTTACATTTTATTTTTTAATTTCAAATCGGTGAGTTTTATCAAAAAAACACAAGAGATAAAAAAGTTTCTAAACAAACTAGACTATCTAAATTAATTTTTTTGCATGTGTTTGATAAGATTTTTCTTTAAATTTCGTTAACAAGAATGATAGGGGTAGTTTATTTCAACCCCTTCCACCCATTTTAAAAAAGTGAAAAAATTACCAGAAGGTGTGTTTTCATAACAGTAATGCTTCCATAAAATTTCATTAGTCTATCTCATTTTGTTTTCAAGATAAAAAATAAAAACATTATTTTTCCCCCATCTTTGTACCGCGATATCTCCCTAATGGTTGACTTTTGACCCAACGTTTATAAAGCAAACTACCCTTTATTTTGAACAAGGAATCACCCCCTAAAGTTTTTCGCATTTGTTTTGAAACACCCTGTATATAATTGGAAATCCCTATAAAAATATAGGGAAAGGAATTTAAAGAATCTTTTTTTAGACATT